TCGTGTAAACCGTCAAGTAGTGGTGTCCGTTACGGGTCCCCGGTAGGAGCTAGAATACCACACGGTTATTGATCATAGGCTCTGGTATAAGACGTGTTTCGATTTGTTGAACGACCCCCCCCCCCTCCCACACAGACACACTTCTTATGTGAAGCGATTATTATTGTGTGTATTTCTCTCTCTCTCTCTCTCTCTCTCTCTCTCTCTCTCTCTCTCTCTCTCTCTCTCTCTCTCTCTCTCTCTCTCTCTCTCTCTCTCTCTCTCTCTCTCTCTCTCTCTCTCTCTCTCTCTTATTCGACTGCTCACCTATAATATGCTTATGCCCCTCTCTTTCATACTTCATTCATTCGTGCATTCATTCAAGTCATTCATTCGTTTGCATACTTATTTATCCTGTCAGGCAGCGGTGTTTACTTTTGGTAGGCATAGTACTGATGTGACCTGCCTAGAATTCTCCCCCCCCCCTCATCCCTGCCCGCTTTCTCTCCCCCTATATTGTAACCTATTAACATTGTAAGTGTGAATAGTTTCAACATTATGACCTATTAACCTGTTAAGTGTAGGAGCTAATTTTGTTCGTACGCTGTAAAGGTAATTCTGTCGATGTAAATTAGAAGACACATCTCAACCTAGACGCGAGATTTATATTTAAAAAACATGGATCAGATATGTTAACGGCAAATGTGGCGCTATAAATGTTTATCACTTGAACCGATGAAGGAACGCCTCCGAAATATATTCAAGTGTTTTTGGTAACTTTTGGCAATTTTTAGAATTTTGAACAGAAGGTTATTCCATTAAATAGACCATAACTTTGGTTGTACTTGTTTGATTTGAATGAAATAAACCTTACTGTTTAGGTAATTTCTTAAGCATTTGTTTAGAATTGCACCTACTTAAATATATGACCTTGAAATTTGCTTAACTCTGTTCTTAAGCACAAAAATTGAAATAGCAAAAAAACACGTCACCTTCGATTTGGCTAATTTTCATATATTTTATTGTCTACTATATTCTTAACAACCTATGAAAAAATTAGAGTGGGCCATTCATAAGTTTTGAAGAAAATGGCACATATGCAAACGAATGTTAGCACGCGCAGTGGAGGGGGAAGAGTGAATTTCGCCCCACCCCTCCTGTTTTTCGCCAATATCTCATAGTATTAATGCGAAATTATTTATAGCTACCTGTCCAAAATGGAATTTCACATCTCATCGTGCAAGCAAGAAGAAAATCGGTTCACAACTGGTCTAGTAATAGCGGTGTAAAGTGAACATCCTGTCGCCGCGGCGACGCGGCGACTCGGCAGCCGGCGCCGACCGCTAGCCGCCGCCTGATTGTAGACTGTGCCGGGACGGAACGGAACGGTTCCGTCTTTACATCGCGCTCCTTACCGCTGATAACGTTCGATTCGCGTCAAATTTTGTGAGAAGACTAAAAATTGTACAGGCAATCTTATGGTGTAAGAATTGTGAAAATCGGTTGGTAAACAATTGAAATATGAACGTGTAAACACAAAATTGTGATTGCTGCCTTTCCCGCGTTGGCCGATCCCGCCTCAGCCGGCGACATGTTACTCTTAGCAGGTCTCTAACTGCCATATTTATTATTGGACTAGGTGCCGAGCATTACGCGCAGCGTAATGAATCAATTTTCATTAAAATCGGCCCAGTAGCGGCCGAGTTATGACCAGAATAAATTTGGCGTCTCCTTCTGGCCGGCGGTGCCTTGTTCCGGTATTCATTGCCAAAGGTCAGTGACCTTCCAGCTCTGATTTCACCCAGTTTTGCAAGCGAAGAAACTGAGCCTAAGGCGCGTGCCGTCTGCTCGGCGCCGGCCGCGGCCCAAAATCCCGCAAAGATGCGCCCGCCACGTGCAAACCGCCGAGCGCACCCCCTCCAAAGTTTAATACAACAAACAGATGCACGCGTCCGACTTACGTCGAAAATTTCACCCCCGTAGCCCGCACCGTTCCGGAGCAATAGCCCGCCAAGCGTGACTGACGCGTTTCATACGGACATTTTGATTTTTATATATGTAAACTAGAGGGACAGCATTACGCGCAGCGTAATAAATCAATTTTTATTAAAATCGGCCCAGTAGCGGCCGAGTTATTACCAGAATAAATTTGGCGTCTCCTCCTGGCCGGCGGTGCTCTGTTCCGGTATTCATTGCCAAAGGTCAGTGACCTTCCGGCTCTGATTTCGCTCAGTTTGGCAAGCGAAGAAACTGAGGCTAATGCGCGTGCTCTCTGCTCGGCGCCGGCCGCGGCCCAACATGCGGCAAAGATGCGCCCGCCACGTGCAAACCACCGAACCCACCCCTTCCAAAATTTAATACAACAAACAGATGCACGCGTCCGACTTACGTCGAAAATTTCACCCCCGTAGCCCGCACCGTTCCAGAGCAATAGCCCGCCAAGCGTGACTGACGCGTTACATACATACATACATACATACATACGTACAGACGTTTTGATTTTTATATATGTGAACTAGAGGGACAGCATTACGCGCAGCGTAATGAATAAATTTTCATTAAAATCGGCCCAGTAGCGGCCGAGTTATGTGTAGAATAAATTTGGCGTCTCCTCTTGGCCGGCGGTGCTCTGTTCCGGTATTCATTGCCAAAGGTCAGTGACCTTCCGGCTCTGGTTTCGCTCAGTTTGGCAAGCGAAGAAACTGAGGATAATGCGCGTGCTCTCTGATCGGCGACGGCCGCGGCCCAAAATCCCGCAAAGATGCGCCCGCCACGTGCAAACCACCGAGCGCACCCCCACCAAAATTTAATACGACAAACAGATGCACGCGTCCGACTTGCGTAGAAAATTTCACCCCCGTAGCCCGCACCGTTCCGGAGCAATAGCCCGCCAAGCGTGACTGACGCGTTACATACATACATACATACGTACAGACATTTCGATTTTTATATATGTAAACTAGAGGGACAGCATTACGCGCAGCGTAAAGAGGGACAGCATTACGCACAGCGTAATGAATCAATTTTTAATAAAATCGGCCCAGTAGCGGCCGAGTTATGGCCAGAATAAATTTGGCTTCTCCTCTTGGCCGGCGGTGCCCTGTTCCGGTATTCATTGCCAAAGGTCAACGACCTGCCGGCTCTGATTTCGCTCAGTTTGGCAAGCGAAGAAACTGAGGATAATGCGCGTGCTCTCTGATCGGCGCCGGCCGCGGCCCAAAATGCGGCAAAGATGCGCCCGCCACGTGCAAACTACCGAGCGCAACCCCACCAAAATTTAATACAACAAACAGATGCACGCGTCCGACTTAAGTCCAAAATTTCACCCCCGTAGCCCGCACCGTTCCGGAGCAATAGCCCGCCAAGCGTGACTGACGCGTTACATACATACATACATACATACGTACAGACGTTTTGATTTTTATATATGTAAACTAGAGGGACAGCATTACGCGCAGCGTAAAGAGGGACAGCATTACGTGCAGCGTAATAAATCAATTTTCAATAAAATCGGCCCAGTAGCGGCCGAGTAATGGCCAGAATAAAGTTGGCGTCTCCTCTGGCCGGCGGTGCTCTGTTCCGGTATTCATTGCCAAAGGTCAGTGACCTGCCGGCTCTGATTTCCCTCAGTTTTGCAGCGAAGAAACTGAGCCTAAGGCGCGTGCCGTCTGCTCGGCGCCGGCCGCGGCCCAAAATTCCGCAAAGATGCGCCCGCCACGTGCAAACCACGGCACCCACCTCTTTCAAAATTTAATACAACAAACAGATGCACGCGTCTGACTTGCGCCCAAAATTTCACCCCCGTAGCCCGCACCGTTCCTGAGCAATAACCCGCCAAGCGTGACTGACGCGTTACATACATACATACATACATACATACATACGTACAGACATTTTGATTTTTATATATGTAAATTAACAAGAAATTCCCCATACATACTCAAAAATGTATATTCTTTCGTATAGTGAAGATAAAAAGACGTGAAGATATCGTTGCGTGATAATGTTTTCGTTGAATTTTTGGCTTCATGATGCATTTCCACACGGCTCAAAATTCACCGCAAAATACCGTTTGCCTGAGACACTTTTACTATGGAACTTGAATGCTTGACTACGATGACTATGTATTTCCATTCTCGCAGAGTTTGGGATATCACTAATCAGCAATCATTCATTTCAGAAGCATGTCTTGACTCTGTCTTTCAAGGTCACGCGCGGTTGCGTGATGTTGATGCATGAAAACGGCGTTTGCCGCGAGAGTTATGAATGGCCCACTCCAATTTTTTCACTGATGGTTAGGAACATTGTGACGGACATATGTAAAAATTACCCGAATCGAAGGTGACGTGTTTTTTGCTATTTAAATTTTTATGTTTTAATTCAAGGTCAAATGCATTTCAAGGTCACTTCAATTTAATTTTATAATTAAAGATCAAAGCCTTATCAATTGCCTACAAGACCCTGTTAATATCATTTTGATAGCAGAAAAGGAATCAGAGCTATAGACATTTAAAAAATTGATGTGTGGCATTTTTGGCTATATTCGATGACCTATATCTCAGCGATACTTAATCAAATTTCGAAAATATTATACGTAACTCAGTTTTGAACCATGCCCAGTCTGCCTATAAATTTTCAGAAAAATCGAAGGGGATGACAGATTTCGGTGTTTGATTTGACGTGGAATGCCCCAGTTACTGCCATCTCCTGGGTAGGAGCCGGCCGAGGAAAACGCTGCCAGAGGTCAGCTTTGTTCCAAGGACCTCCCACACTAAACGTGAACGCACTTGCCAACTGCGCCACAAGGGTGGTAGATTGTGGACCGATTTACCTTGCACGGGAAGATTTGCAATTGATGATTTCGTGCAAATTTTCAGCGAACATGTCAAATTGATGTATGATAATATAGCGAAAGTTTGTTGTTGCTTATGTAACGCGTGTAGAAGCTATTTGTGAAAAACGTGAGGGGACAGGTTCTTAGGGCGCGGTTTAACAGTCAACGTCCGTCCATCCGCTCTCAGATGAGGTTCGGACAGGCACGTACCGCCAGCTGTTCCACCCGGAGCAGCTCATCACCGGAAAGGAGGATGCTGCCAACAACTACGCGCGCGGCCACTACACCATCGGCAAGGAGCTGGTGGACCTCGTGTTGGACCGCATCAGGAAGCTTGCCGACCAGTGCACAGGTAACTAAAGATTCTGCCGCCTTTTCCCGAATAATGACCTGGCATGAATATTTGGTGCATGGTGGTAATAACTGGTAATTGAATAATTGATTGCTTACGTGTAATTTTTCTAGGGTGTACTTACGAGTATTGAAGATTAAATAAGTGAGTATTTTACTCAACCATTCTGTTCGCGTGTACCAGTTTCGAAGTTCTTGCGTGTTACGAAGAGACGGGACCAATTCCCAGTGTAAAGTTTGTTAAACCACACAGCTATATGCCAGAATAGGTTGGAAACCGTGCGATTTCACGTACTCAATCCAGATCCGAATTCATTTGTGCACCCATACTGCCACTAACGGTTGCAATTTTTACAGGTCTGCAGGGTTTCCTGATCTTCCACTCTTTCGGCGGCGGCACCGGCTCCGGCTTCACCTCGCTGCTGATGGAGCGTCTCAGCGTCGACTACGGCAAGAAGTCGAAGCTGGAGTTCGCCATCTACCCGGCTCCGCAGGTGGCCACAGCCGTGGTGGAGCCGTACAACTCCATCCTGACCACCCACACCACCCTGGAGCACTCCGACTGCGCCTTCATGGTCGACAACGAGGCCATCTACGACATCTGCCGCCGCAACCTGGACATCGAGCGCCCGACGTACACCAACCTGAACCGCCTGATCGGCCAGATCGTCTCCTCCATCACGGCCTCGCTGCGCTTCGACGGCGCCCTGAACGTGGACCTGACCGAGTTCCAGACCAACCTGGTGCCGTACCCACGCATTCACTTCCCGCTGGCCACCTACGCTCCGGTCATCTCGGCTGAGAAGGCCTACCACGAGCAGCTCTCGGTCGCTGAGATCACCAACGCCTGCTTCGAGCCGGCCAACCAGATGGTCAAGTGCGACCCGCGTCACGGCAAGTACATGGCCTGCTGCATGCTGTACCGTGGCGACGTCGTCCCTAAGGATGTGAACGCCGCCATCGCCACCATCAAAACCAAGCGAACCATCCAGTTTGTCGACTGGTGTCCGACTGGCTTCAAGGTGGGCATCAACTACCAGCCGCCGACCGTGGTGCCCGGCGGCGACCTGGCCAAGGTGCAGCGCGCTGTCTGCATGCTGTCCAACACCACCGCCATCGCTGAGGCCTGGGCGCGCCTGGACCACAAGTTCGATCTGATGTACGCCAAGCGCGCCTTCGTGCACTGGTACGTCGGCGAGGGCATGGAGGAGGGCGAGTTCTCAGAGGCCCGCGAGGACCTGGCCGCGCTGGAGAAGGATTACGAGGAGGTGGGTATCGACTCGGTGGAAGGAGAGGGTGAGGAGAACGAGGAGTACTAGGCGCTGGCGCAGGCCGCGCTGACAGTCCGGTGTTGGTCCCGTTTGTGAGCTGTGATGATACGGTTGGCCGGCGCGTGGCCGCCCTGTGAGCGGCTGGCAAACAGCACCCGGTGGTTGTACCCGTAGCTCGTGTGATCGCGGAGGAGTGTCCGTTTCGGTTGGCGGAAAATAAACGTTTCTGGTTGTTCACGATTGGTATTACAAACACAAGCACAATACAAAACGCGTAACACATGGTGGCTCCATTGTCGAATGGATTGATATTGGTTGTACGAGCAAAGCGCACTTTGAGAATGGCCAGTCATTCCGATAACGTAATGGGCATTACACTGCAAGTCAAACGTCACATGTAACAAAAGTTCATACTTATGCCATCAGCTAGTGAACAGCTAGTGACACCGCGATCGGCCGATCGCTGCTGATTGCTTGAGCGTGTAGCAGCGAGCACTAGATGTTTGACCAGTGCGGTATCCGGCTACGAATGGTAAATAAACGTGTGAACATGGTCTAAAATGAACTCAGGTTTCAAACGGACTTCTCATAAACCTAGTCTCAGAGCGTAAAGAAAAATAACGAGTAACATCCTGAGGCTAGTCTGCTAAGGACCATGTCAATAACAAAACACACTACACATCTTGGGAGACGCTCTCGCACAACTGGCACGGTCACCGGGGCTCTGCGGTGGAGTCCTCACTCGGTATCACATGATCGCACCCTGCGCGGTCCTCTCCTCTCTCTCAGTCGCACTTGTGAAAGAACTCAGCACTGCTGTACATAAACGGACGCCCCGGGGGCGCGGCGGTCGGGAGGTAGCGCTCAGTTGCCCGCCACGTACGAGATCCAGTCGGACGTCATCGACACGCGGTGGTAGATACCTGGAACGGCGCGACCGTCAGAATATGCCCCAGGCAAGGGCGGATCCAGGGGGGGGCCAACGGGGCCATGGCCCCCCCTTTGACGCTGAAAGGGGGGGCCAACATATCTTTTGGCCCCCCCTTTCATCCGTGTTCTTTTTCAGAGCCGACTCATGTATTCACGATCATTTTCACTTTCTTATCTACGCCAAGGCCAAACATCTCTATTTTTGTCCAAATATGACAATGGCCCGGCCGTGTTGTACCATCTTAAAACCCCAAATCGGAATTATTGAAGGAAAACTTCATGAGCCATGGATATGCCTGAGCTACTATGGTATCATGATGCTACCATACTTCATTCCCATTATAACCAAAACCTTGAAATGCACGTTTGTTTACACGCCGTATCGCCGCGATCGCCGCACTTTTTCGCTCTAATATCGTATACACTGCCGCGTTGGGGGGACCATCAAAGCGTCCAAAACCGCAGCATCCAAGGTACGCAACATCCAAAACCGCAGCGTCCAAAGTACGCAACGTCCAAAATACGTCCAAAATCGGGTACATAGGGAGCATTCACAACATCCAAAACCGAAACATCCAAAACCGCAACATCCAAAACGTATCATCCAAAAACGCAACATCCAAGGACGCATCATCCAAAGTACGCAACATCCAAAGTACGCAACATCCAAAGTACGCAACATCCAAAACCGTTAGGTTAGGTTAGGTTAGGCTAGGTTAGGTTAGGTTAGGTTTCCTTATCCCCGGTATGCATAAATCAGTAGGTTAGGTTAGGTTAGGTTAGGTTAGGTTAGGTTAGGTTAGGTTTCCTTATCCCCGGTAGGCAAAAATCAGTAGGTTAGGTTAGGTTAGGTTAGGTTTGGTTAGGGATAGGCAAAAATCAGTAGGTTAGGTTCGGTTAGGTTAGGTTAGGTTAGGTTCGGTTATGTTAGATTAGGTTAGGTTAGGTTAGGTTGGTTTTGGATGTTGCTTGCCTTGGATGTCGTGGTCTTGGACGTTGTGGTTTTGGAGGTTACGAACTTTGGATGTTGCGTTTTTTGGATGATACGTTTTTGGACGTTGCGGTTTTGGATGTTTCGGTTTTGGACTTTGTGAATGCCCCCTATAAACCCGATTTTGGACGTATTTTGGACGTTGCGTACTTTGGACGCTGCGGTTTTGGATGTTGCGTACTTTGGGTGCTGCGGTTTTGGACGCTTTGATACGGACCCGCCGCGTTGTTGTGTGCAAAGTCCTATATACCATATATACCGGTTGTGCTTGGAGTCGGTTGGGTAATCACTAATCGAGGTGTGGTAGGTTTGCAACTCATATTTTAGCCCATGCCTTCTTGGCTTAAACTTTCCACACTCACATTGGATTTTAAGATCCAATTTTGCTCTGTTGACATTTATGCTGAAGCCAATTTTGGGACACCACCAAGGCTGTTGTGCGCATATATTTTCCAATGTTTCTCTGGGTTTTAGGAGTATTAGTGCAAATTTTCTCAAATAGCAATGAGAATTACCTACAGTGCAAAGTCAGTGCCTGCAAAGGAGTGAAAAGTTATCTGCAACTTAACCTAGAAGAAAGATGAAAAGATAGACCAGAAAATAAGTAAATAACAACTTGCTTTAGGCACATTTTAAGGACCCACCAAACCATTTTCCAGGATAAGCCATCCATGATGAAAAGACGAGGACCACCTGTGCAAAAGTCCATGATGGACTTTTTCTCAAAGAAAAGTAAAAACAGAAACAGGCAAGTAAAAAAGTATTTGAAAATGTAATGGAAGCCATTCTGGATGCATATATTTGACATGTGTGGTAATTTACAACAATGTTTAATTGGAATTGTATTGTATAATACATTTTGGTCAGTGTTTTAGTCTCAGCCTCTTAGATAGGTGTCTAATTTTGGTGCTGCTTTATTTAAATGAGCATTTTAAAGCAATTAAATCCACCTTTGTGTTAGTATCAACTAATACTACCTTGGCTGCTGAGTGCTGGCATATATGGATAATGGATCACTACATCTGCATTGTTCTGAATTCCACACACCGACTTTTTCAGCCTGGATCCACAGCCATCTGTCCCAGCCTGTGATCCTCCGAGCACCCCTTCTCCTACTCCTGGACCAGAGATGCCCACAGCAACAGCAGGAGCCTATGCAGGTACAGTAGCTTATGTTGCAGTTCATTCAGGCATATTGTGTTCAGTTATAGTTTAATGAATTCTTGTATTAAAAATGTGAGTATTACATGTATATCCCTCTGCTATGTGAATAGTGTAATGACAGCTATTGTTCTACCTCTAAACCGCCTTTTGCACCTGTGCTGTTGTATTATTGTGCCTGAATCTGAAAGCAAACAAGATTTAATCAATATATACTGCCAGAGCATGCAGTAATATCATCAGAAAAAAATTATACCTTTTCCCAACACTTATATCACTTTCATTTATTTCTAAAACACGCATGATTTTAAGGGCACCGGCAGCCACTTACCTATCGACATCCCAAGTCAGGGGCGAATGGGCCGCGCACACAGAAGGACACGGCCAGAGGTCACGGGGTCGCCTGGCCACGCCGCCGCCCGAATCGAGCTACCCATTGCCACATTCTTATGGTTTGCTTGATTTGTTTTGTTCGGTCGGTCCCTTTGCCACAGTCATAGCACAGTCAAGACTTTTCGATCGGTCTATAACGTGTCGGTGCATTGTAGTCTGCGCACCGACCGCTACCGCCACCTATCCTACCCACTGGTCGACGAGGCTCGCAGCGCTCGCGGCGACCTCTACAGCGACGAGTGCTGACACGGCTCAGCGGCACAACGCGCACCGCTCGCCGGCAGTCACAAATAGTATCTAAAAATAGAATAGTTATACTAGCTTTGTGAATTCTGGCTAAGATTGGTTTGAACTATCAATGGCGCATGCTAGAGCAGAAGCTAATATGAGCGTCATTTGACCATTGTAGTCGGCGCGCCCCTAAGCCCCAATTATCATATTATCATAGAGCGTAAGCTGATTGTACGGGCGTCACCGTCGTGTTACCTATGCCGTCTTCTTAACCTTCTGTCGGTAACCTTGCTTTAGTCTAAACAGACTACTACATATACCTAGATTGTTTTTACTTTTTTATCGGACATTAGCTGGCGGTCCGAAACACCCACTGGTTGTAATGGTAACATGACTTTGACAAACGGTTTTTGAGTGAATGAACTAGAAACGTTGCATTTTCTTGTTTTATTTTTATGCAAATAACATTTTTTTAATATTTTGCAAACGAGCTTGGTGGTATTCCGACTTCTTAGGTACCTACCAAAGATGCCAGCGCCGACAATCGGCAGCTTTTTTCCTAATATGCTTGCCTAATTGATAAAGTAATTTTCAGAGTCCAACCAGCAGAGTCCAACCTGACCGTTTAGCGACCGGATAGTAATCCTATATCCCCTTGCTTGTCTCTTCAGAGGAGGATCGCCCCTTGGCCCTGGAGTCTCCTGTGACGGGTCCTGGCCCTGGAACCTCATCCTTCACGCCATCTGAAAATCAGTCAGCAGGCTCTCCAGACCAGAGTGGTGGCGATTCAGAGGACATTGTTGGAATCCCAGATGATAGGCCTGTTCTGCCTCCGAATGACTTCGGTTTTTTTATCGCAAAGAAAACCAGCGATGAAGAAAAGCTAGAAGGACTGACCAAACGATGGTGTCCCTCCGAGAAAAGTCAGTTCCCTGTTTCGTATCACACAAAGAATGGGGTGTCCCGGCCGAGGTATCTTCTCCGGCATCACTTGGATACATACAAGTGGCTGGCTGTATCCAGAAAGGGGAACTTATCTGGTGCATGGTGTAGTGTTTGTGTGCTTTTTGGCGAAACTCTTGATGAAGGCGAAGGTGCACGTGGAGGTAAAGGCAGGTCGAAAGGCAAGCTGGTGAGCCGCCCCCTTGTCGACTTTTCTGACTTGACCGGCAAGAATGGTGCTCTGGATTCGCATGCCCAGTCAGCATCCCACCAGGCCAATGCTGCAAAGGCTGCCAGCTTTACGATCGCAATGAAGGATCCAAAGAAAAGCATCGATGCAGTGATGGACACAGCGAGCGAGCGCGAGGTCAGGCGTAACAGGGCAGTACTGACGTCAATCATCGAAACGCTCAAGTTTGCTGTGACGCAAAACATATCACTGCGAGGCCACCGTGACGATGGGCGAATTGATGGGAGTGGTACTCAGCCAGCCGAAAACGATGGAAACTTTAAAGGGCTGCTCCGATTTAGGCTTCAGGGTGGCGACGAAGTACTGAAAAGGCACCTGCAAGATGGTTCTGGTAACGCGCTTTACACGAGCAAAACAGTCCAGAATGAGCTCCTCGACGTCCTCAGGACTTTGGTGCAGGAACGTGTGACAAACAAGGTGCAAAAGGCTCAAGTATGGGCGTTGATGGCTGATGACACTACAGACATTTCAAACAGAGAGCAGATGGCTGTGGTGGCTCGATATGTAGACGAAAATGAGAGTGGCCAACTCGTAATTCGGGAAGACCCTGTCGCTCTTCTGGATGTGATGGACGTCATTCGGCGGTCCGCGAACGGCCCAGAGCTGAAGATGTCGGGGAAGAACCTCGCAGAAGCGCTGCTAGGCAGTATCCGCAAGCTGGGCCTGGACACTTCTCGCCTTGTAGCCCAATGCTACGACGGCGCGGCTGCTATGTCGAGTGAGCGGGTGGGCGTGGTGGCACAAGTGAAGGAAGCCGCACCACTGGCAGAGTATTTCCACTGTGCGTCTCATGCATTGAATCTATCGACGTCACTCATCAACAAAGTGGATTTGGTAAGAAATGCCTTGGGGACAATGGAGACTGTCGTCGTTTTTCTAACAGATGGTGCAAAGCGGGGCGAAATCCTGCGCTACGCACAGTCATCAAAGATGGACGGCGATAAGAGGCTCAAGCTGATCAAACTGTGCCAAACACGGTTTGTCGAAAGGCATCTCGCTGTGGAGCGTTTCTTGGAACAGCTCAGCGCTATCCACCTGGCACTGGAGCAGATCGCCACGTGGCAAGATCGGCGCTCCAGTTCGAAGGCCACGGCGCTTCTGAGTGCCATCTCGAGGACCGAATTCCTGGTAGGTCTGGTCGTAGTTGAACGGTTGGCCGGCATCCTTCGGCCATTGGCTCTGGCACTTCAGGATAAGCAGCTGGACCTCACTAAAGCCCTACAGTTGGTAGATGCGGTGAAGTCCGTGCTGACGGAGCAGAGAGCCTCCAGTGAAAAGGAATTCGCTGTGTTGATGCGGACGGTGGAATGCGCTGCAGAGAAGCTGAGTGTAGAGGTGAGGAAGCCGCGTCTGCCAGAAAAGTCCGTCTACCGGGGAAATGCAGGCAGGGATCTCTCCACAGAAGCCTACTACCAGATCACGGTCTTCAATCCTGCCGTGGATCTCGTCCTGCAAGACATCAACCTGCGCTTCGGCAAGCACACGCAGCTGACCGCGAGCCTCAGCAAACTCCTGCCAAAGAAAACAGTTTCTACGGAGTGGTCTGACGTGGAGCCAGCCTACGAGCAGTTTAAAGGTCTCCTAGGATCAGTAACTGACTCGCAGGTGAAAGCCGAGTTCAGCGTGTGGAAAGCCATGTGGCGTGATAAACCCAAGGAAGAAGTTCCGACGACTGCTATCAGTTCCCTCAACGCGTGCCCGGCTGAAATCTTTCCAAACGTACATATGCTTCTAAAGGTACTCAGCGTGCTACCAGTAACAACCGCAGAAGCCGAGCGCGTGTTTTCCAAGGTAGCTAGGACACTGACAGCGCTCAAAACGACCATGACCGAGGGTCGGCTCGAGGCGCTCGTTCTGCTTCAGGTACATCGGGACCACATGCCGGCGACCAGCGAGGTCATCAACCGCTTCGCTGCGTCTGCCTGTCGCCGTCGGGAGTTCCGATTGCGCCTGTAGCGCGACGCGATCCTGATCCTGCGCGATGTGGCCCTGACCCTGCGCGATGTGATCCTCGACTGCTCAATGTTATCCTCATCCTGTGCGATGTGATATTGAAAGGCTGACCATATATGTATGTACATACATAATATACATTCGGTTCTGCGCCAGACGTGTCAACTGTCATCACTATCAGATGTCTGACAGATAGGATGACCGCGTATTAACTGATAGGCTGATTGTGCTGATCTCTGTGAACAGGACAGCTAGCATAAACGCGATGAAATCACCTGATTTCAGGAAACACATGTGATATAAATCATACGCGTATTGCACAAAAACAGCTTGGCTTGAATAACAAGTTCTTCATCATGCATCATTTTGTGAGCTTACTTGTGAGCCATTTGTGCCCTAAACCGCTAATGTCATTATGTCAAATGCCATTCCGGGTTGAAAATCCAACCATAAGACCGATTCATAGATTCATATCTGGCTAAACATATCCTGTGCTGAGGGATTCATGCTATCAACATTTTACCACAATTACATGTTTATTACCAAAGTTATTTTTGTCCCATAGGCACCCAAGCTTCTACTAATAAATACACGCTATCACTTTAACCCGCGCCCCACTGGGGGGGGGGGGCTATTTATAGCCCCCCCCTCCCGTTTTTCTGCAATAACTTCCAAACCGCTTGACGTATCGACGCCAAACTTGCAGTACCTTCGGCTGCATCAATTTGACACCTTGTGTCAAAATTTGAACTTCGTAGCTACCATAGGTCGGCCGGAAATGACGTCAGAGTGACGTCATGTTCGTCCGATTTCGACGCAAAACATTGAACCACGGCAATCGCTCCCAAGAGCTCAGTTTTTAAGCTAGATCCAATTTCTTTGCATGAAAGGACTCAGGATTGACCGCGCTATCAAACTGCTATCTCGGATTTTCAAAATTTTGAAAATTTCGAAAATTTTATATAATAATATTCAAAATTTATATTTTTATATTTTTTTCAAAAAGTTTTTGACTTTTCGAAAAAACCGGAATATATGTGACAGAACGCATGATTATGACTAACTCTAGTAAGTTTTAGCTAAATATCTTAAAAAATGGCCAAGTTATACGCATTATTGCAAAAAATTCACAATTATTAATTTTTCAAATCACTTTTTCAGTACGTATTTGACATCGTACACCAATATAAATGGCACCATCGTGTTCCTGAGCTCAAACTGCATCCAATAGACACCTTTTTTGTTGAAAAATGTTAACTTCAAAATTTGACCTTTTTTGACCTGAAAGTGACCTGACCTAAGCTAAATTTGACTCAAAATGACCTCAAATGACACAGACGACATCAAATTCGAAATCTATGGCCTAAATGGACCATAAAACATGTGTCACGTGACCGACGCATGATATAATATTTTCGTGACCTGTGATGACCTGACCCTGACCTGAAAATCAAAGTACAAGTTTGGTACCCTCAAGGTATCTAGAGCATCTGTTCACGAGTGTGGAAACCAAAAATGAGCCTGATCTGACTTGTAAGACGGCGGCCAGAGCCCAAAATGTGAACAAGCCAAAGTGCTAATAATTTTTACTTTGACCTGACCTGTGACGTCATCGGTGACCTCGAGGTCAATGAAATTAGGTTTCGCTCGACAGTTTTTCCGGGGCTATCAGACGCCGTTTGAATTTTGACGATCGGCCCAGTAGTTTCGGAGTTAGGAGGGGGGGCTATGAATAGCCCCCCCCCCCCCCCCAGTAGGGCGTGTTATACACAGACCCCAGTGGGGCGCGGGTTAAGCATCATTCACGTCCATCTGCTTTTGCATGCAGAGCAGGATGCGGAAAATGTACCCCATCACGGCCGGCTTTCTCAATGACATTTTGACTACTCCCAAGTAATAATTTAGGTTTTCTGCCTCCTTATTTGTTGTTCGGATATCGCTGCATGTATAAGCCCACCTTGCAGTTCCCCTTCAATTGGCCTAGGCCTAGCAAAAAATAGTCAGGCGTTAACCCCTCTCCTTAGAAAGGCGCTTTAGCAGGGTATAGGTTGCCACTACGGATTGCCATTTGCAAGGGCGCAGCCAAATTGGGGCCTATTAACCCCCCCCCCCCCCTACCGCCGAAGTACGTGATTTTTTTTTTGATTTTTTATTTTATTTGATTTTTTTTTTTGGCAAAATTGCAACCTTACAAAATAAAGTGGCCGAAATCCGGGGAGAAAATAGGATTTGGGGGTAGGTTAGGTTCTGCGGGCCCTATCCTAGCGAAAAACATGATGGGCATTTGGCCCCCCCTTTGAGATGCCCCTGGATCCGCCCTTGGCCCCAGGCAGCACAAAGAACACACTCGTGTGAAATGGACGGTTTGACGACTCCCCTACTTGAGAATGCCCTGCTTAGCTCATGCATTAGAACATTACTAGGCGTCGGTGTAGAGGTAAAAATGATCTTATTTGGGTGATCAATGATAATCATTACTCCGGAACATATTTTCGAATTCCCCCGTCCAGATAAGTGTATTTTTTAGCTACCTACTTTTTCATTAATTAACGAAAAAACGATGGACTGATCCTTCCACAAGCCACATTTTCCTTGCTCATAAGTTTACTCGTAGGTTTTTCTGTTGTCTTATCGAGAAGAGAACCTTCAGCAGCTTATGAGGCGAACTCAAATAGAAAGTGGTTTGGGTGGATGATACATCAGTCGCACAGAGTTGCCGATGGGCGCCGTGCGGCCACTGACCTGGCTGCTTGCCCTGGGCGCAGGAGTAGCCGGCAGACACGATGCCCATGAGATACCACCGGCCGTCGCTCTCGATCATCAGAGGTCCGCCGCTGTCACCCTGTCGGTGGGGTGACAGGTCAGACACCGTGTGACATACGAACGTCAGCCGCTGTCACCACCGGTCAGACACTGACATACGGAGGTCCACCGCTGTTACCTTGTCACCGGTCGGGTAACATTACGAATGCCGCTTTTATCACATAACGTATAGTACATACATGCGCAAGCGCAGCACGAGCGTTTTCGCCGCCCCGTTCCTGTTATTTACACTAGTCTGTCACCCCGTTTCTGTTTATTACCTGGCACTCGTCTGCAAGTGCTAGCCCATTCCTGTTATTAGCCCGACACTCGTCTGCCACCTCGTTCCTCTTTATTACCTGGCACTCGTCTGCCGGTGCCACCGTTCCTGTTACACACCTGCCAGCCCGTCCCGTCCCCGTTTATTACCTGGCACTCGTCTGCCGGTGCTACTGTTTATTACCTGGCACGAGTCCTTGCCGCCGTTGATGTAGCCAGCGCACATCATCTCCTCGTGGATGATGACGTTGATGCCCTTCTGGCGGTGCCACTGCTCACACATGTGCCGGTTGATGACGGGAACGTCGACCACCTGCAGCTCCTTGGGGCGCACTCGAGAGCCTGTGTGCGGAGCGGACGGCGCGGTCAGTGAGGCACACAGACACTGCGACAGCCCGCCACATGGCACACAGGTCCCGCTACACGGCATACGGATCCCCGCCACACGGTACCACACAGATCGGGCCGTAACACGGTGCACCACCATTAGCGCCGCGCTGTACGAGAAACGATACTGCTGCCGCTAGATGGCAGCAGGGGTTAGCGCCTGAATGTAGACTGTGCCGCCGAACCGGACAGCCGAGTGTTGCAGTAAAACCGATTACCGAAACACCGACAACCGACACTAAAAGCTGGATTTATTTGGACAAACAGCACCGTTCCGTGCTTCTATCCTCAGGATACTGAAATCCTTCTCCTCCACGCCGCAACCCTCCTCCGGGCTGGACAGGCAACTTTATCTCATGCGGGCTGCTCCCTTGGAGCGGCACCACTGCTCCCGAGGGAGCGCACCCCGTAGCCGGGTGCAGTGAGTGCCTTGGGGCTGGGTGGCCTGTCCTTGGACGGGCTCAGCCCCGGCGACTCACTAGGGTGCCTGCCCAGACCAATGTCTCCCCCTATATCCTATCATCCTCCCGGCTCTGAAATGGTCACAATAGAGATTGCAATCCCGGAACGTTTTGCCAATCCCGGGATCCCGAAAGTTTTTATTTCGGGATCCCGGGATCCCGGTCTTGTCACTAAATGTCGTAAGAGTGATTTCCTACGGACATATTTTGCGTCTTTTAGCTTACCACAAAAAAGAGGCAACCAAAAGCCATCCTTAGATCATGTCATTTGCATTAAAAACGATTGAATTTGCAAGGAAAACGTTTCGATTTGATTAGCATGAGTATTTATTCCCAATTGGCCTTTATAAAACTGTGCGTCGACCAGTACGTTTACTAGACGGGTTCCAGCACATCCACGCCTCACTCACTCTTCGTCTGCGCTACTCGTAGTTAGCGCGACAGTTTTAAGCCATTGCAGGTCTGTCTGCCTACTTAAAAACTCGCAACCAGTGTACGCTAAATTTGGCAGCTCCCTATTTCACAATGTTTTCAAGACGTCGCTTGGTCACTTCACCTCCTTCCGGTTCCGCTTTCATCACTAATGTCTCTCATAATTTGCTCGAAAGTCGCTTTGAGAGCAGAGTCACTGACTGGGAGAGCTCCAAGTCCACTCTACTGTCTTCAACGTCTGAATCAGTGAGCTCTGCCGTCACTTGCGTGACATCTGTGACATTTTTCTGCGACACGAGCTCAAAGACTTGTCTTGATGACCTCTTTTGTTCCGGCCACGGACAGGCAAGTCAGAATCGCTGAACGATCTGTGATCCTGCCTAAAGATGTTGCAGCGCTGATACTGCATTTTTTTTTTTGGCGTTCGGGATCCTTTTTCGTACGTATTTAAGCGGCTTTACCGCTGTGGGTGATACCCGGGAGCTACAACACGGTCGATTGTGGACGACCAATACGGGGTGCCAGCTAAATAGTTTATCTGCTTTATGTCACGCAGCACCATGCAGAGTGCAAACAAGACTCGTGCAGCGGCTGCATTCTGTTTATGGTGAAAAATTGTTTTTTCGGGATCCCGGGATTGGCGGAATTTCGGGATCGGGATCGGGATTAAAATCCCGCCGAGATCCCGGGATCCCGATCCCGGGATTGCAATCTCTAGTCACAATTGACCGAAAGGGCCTAACCCAACAAAACAATAAAAAAGGACAAACAGCACTGAGTGCTCTCTAACATGCATTGTTGGCAGTTTAAATATGAATATTATTTCATCCTAACTACGTAAAGGTGACTTCATAAGCGATTGGGTCGAGGGCAATGACCAACACGGGTTACATTTACTCGTTCAGAGCAAGAGAACTGGGATACATTTGTGAAAATTTTCTTAAGGTATTTCTACCTGCAAGGCACATAGGTAGCCGGCTAGTCAAATTGTACCACTGCGCCTCTTGTGGCCCAGCCCTAAGCGACGCTAAGCCCGGCCCCGGCGCCCCCCGGCGTCCCGCTGTCACCTGGCCTCCCCAGTGTTCCCGCCGTGACTCACCCGGCCTCCCAGTGTTCCCCTGTAACCCACGGTGACTCACCGGGCCTCAGCGCTCCCCAGCCGGCCGCCCAGCCGTAGAAGCCCTCAAACTCCTCCCCCTTCTCGGGCAGGCAGATGGGCTGGATGTGCGGCGCGTACGGCACCGGCCGGTCCAATCTGCAGCGGAGGGCAGCACACGGGTCACAGCACTGTACCTGGGCGGGCAGCGCTGGACATCGGGACACGACGGGGGTAAGCCAGCAACGGACACTCCGCCCTTAGAAAACTGAAATCATAACCTCATAACCGAAGGTTTGTCGGCAATAGTTAAAACACTATTCGTTAGAATTGTGTTTTTCTATTGAAAAACAAATCTGAGTTCCCTGACAATTTGGCAAAAGCTGCCCGAGATCAGTAGTCTGTGCTTGTAAATATTTGAATGAAATGAATCAAGATAAAATAACGATAAATGCCGCTAAGCGTCTTGAGTATGGCGTTGCCGAGTAACCAGCGCCAATAATGCCACTCACGTGAGCACGGCCACGTCGTATCGGTCGGCCTGCGGTGTGAACTGGAAGCGCGGATGCACCTGGATGGCGCGCACTTTGAACTTGTAGGCCGGCAGGGGCTCGCGGTTCGAGTTGAGCACGTAGTCGCCCAGGGTGATGGTGATCTGTCCCGGCCGGGCCCTGCGGCGACACCGTGACGTCAGCAATTATAGCACGTCACATCCCAGCACCGCCGTCAGCGTATTTCTACATTGACCTGACCTGTGACGTCATCGGCGACCTCGACGTGTCAATAAAATTCGGCTTCGCTGGACATCTTTTTCAGGGCTATCAATGCCGGTTAACTTCAAAAATCGGACCAGTAGTTTCGGAGATATGGGGGGGGGGAGGCGCTCTGTAAAGGAATAGTAAATCCCACTACCCCAGTCATGCGCGGGTTAAACTGAAGTGACCACGCAGTGACCCTGTCAGTCTGACCTGGCCACGCGGTGACCTCGGTAAGCTGCCGTTAGCACGCAGTGACCCTGCTTATCTGACCTGGCCCCGTCAGTCTGACCTGGCCACTCAGTGCCCTCGATAGTTTGACTTTATCACGCAGTGACCCTGTCAAACTGACCTGGCCACGCAGTGTCCGGCAGTGATGACGTGCTGTCGGTTGATGAGCGATCCTCCGCATCGGCTAGTGCCGATCAAAATGTACGCCTGCGGGTGACACGAACACAACAGTGGGTCAAACATGAATCCGATGCTAAAGCGTTCCATTGTCTATTTGCGAAATACTTCTTTTCAAAAATCAAAAGTTTGTTCTGTGAATTTCGAAAAGAATGTGTGAATTTCGTAAATGCTTGTTAAAAAAATAGGGATATTTACCATTTTAATGACTCACATTTCCTTATGACAGCCTTATGCGGCACCGTTCACGGTCTATCCTTATCACGACTTCTAACGTTCGACAGGTCTTCCAACCGTATGTCCGTATTTTCATCACGGTCGCAAAAAGCACTATCAGCGCCACTATTCGTTGTGTCGTTTTCGTACGATGGCGTCTCGTGCACTCTACAGTGTGGTGTGTCAGCAGTCGGCCCTCGGTCCTCACCTGCCAGGGGAAGGTGCCGAAGCCGGCCTGGTTTCCGCCCACGATCCGCCGGGTGATGCCGATCCGAGACGTGTCCGAGAGGCCACATCCTGACGGCGGCGGCCGGGCGCGGACGGGGCGCGTCAGTGCACCGTCAGGAGGGACCCGGGTCTCGAGAACGGGGGATATAACAAATAAACACGGCAAGCTGAATTAGGTAATGACTAACGAATGAAACTTTCCGGCAGAATATTATATTACTTAAAAATGAAACACTGACAGACATGTAGTTAAAAAAAAACACGCAAATCTATCACATGAAGCGGCCCTTTCCCGGTCATCTCAGTAAGCGCTCAGTCGTTGAAAGTCTGGGTGTTGTGGCGTCTGCCTGCCGCAGCCGCTGTCTGCCCGCAGCAGCAGCCGTCGGTGCCAGTCTGAGCGGCCGTCTGGGTCACCGCGCAGTCTCAGCCGTCGGTCGCTGTCACCGCGGCCAGTCTCAGCCGTCGTCTGTCGGCCTCCACCGCGTGCGGTGCTGTCAGTCGGTGGTGGTCGGTGCGCGCGCGGCTAGACTACAGACCTGCTGAGTGGCGGACGCTGGGGGTGTCAGGTGCGGCCAGTCCACTGGGTCAGCGGTCAGCGGTCCGGTCAGCGGCACAGGTGAAAACAACACCGGTAGAGAAACAGAGAAAGAGCCTCATGCAAGAAAAGATACCTTATTTAGTGAAAGAATCTTCAAACTTGATTTTGATGTTAAGTATAACGAAATTTATCATATTTTGACGAGGTTTGAGAATTGAGAGAGTTGCAAAATTCTATTTAATGAATCATTGTTTCCACCTTGAGCCAGATGTTTCGTCAAAACAGTAAGGTCCTTGGTCGGTATTGATATTGCTGCTGTATTGAAAAGGCGCTGTTAGTTATTTGCAGTTGAACAACATGTCGCACAGGCATCAGTTTTTTAAAAGTATTATTTACAAGCCGTGGATGTGACCAGATAATTGGTAGTTAAGCGGAAATCCTATATTTTGTTCAATCAAAGTAATCTGATGAATGAAGTAAAGTAACTATCCTGTCAGTTTTACTTTACCTATATATCGTTAGTGCACAACAAACAACAACAACCAAGTTCATCTCTAACCGTGTAGTCTAAAATACACTGCCTAACTCACTAGTCTATTCTGATCGCTTGATTTCGCGTGGCTGCTCAAGTTTCTATGGCTAATGCCATGCTGGCGCTAAACTGTGCTAAACTGCATCAGCGTGGAAGACTTATAGTGACCCCCTCCCCGTGCAGGCTCGAGGTCGGTGCGTGACTGTGCTGCGGTGCTACTTACAGTTGGTGGCAAGCAGTGATTCCTCCCCGGTGGGGGAGAGCATCAGAGGTGATGCATTGGCCGTGGCATGTTGGCCCTGTACAGGTCTAATAAATAGTCGCATTTGAGAAATTTGTCAGATCTGCACCATACAATATGTGCTCTTTGTAAGGTCGAGAAACACTTAAAGGGACCCTCCCACCTTCAAAAAAGTTTATGAATTGGCATGAAAGTGATGTCGCTCGGTTCAGAAAGAGCGACGACGAATATCTACCAAATTTCACCGAAAAATATTCACCCGTTTTCAAGATATTAGACTTTTACTTTTGTTTACATTTTAGGGATCTCCGCTGTTTCTAGCGACTTTATTTTAGAAGTGCGGCGTTTGCGTCAGATGCTGCGCGCAAATAGCATATACCACCGCGTGCTACAAAACGTTTTAGTCAAACATTTAAAAATCGTTAGATATCTGCGCTGACGTCACACATTCAGAGGGGTATTCCTAAGCATTAGCCCCTCTGAATCAAAATGCTGCAATTTTGAAATTCAATATTTCCGATTTAAGGCATTTCTCGATGTTAGGAGTGCCGAAACCGGTAATTGTGAGCCAGGGACCCCATTTTGGCTATCTCAACTCAAATCTAATGTTAAGGTGGGAGGGTCCCTTTAAACGCACTAAACTGATAGCTGTGTAACGCGGATGACGATGCACCCGCATCCGTCGCGCCGAATGCTTGTTTCGAGTGTTTTGGCGTAGCTATGCTCGCTGGGTGTGACGATAACTATTAAAAGCCCTAATGATGGTGGCAGGGACATTAAAAGCGACTTTCATTCCGGGCGGCACATGGGTGCCCTTATGACGCGCCTGTGTTCCGGAAGGCGAACATTGAAATGCTAAAATATCTACTCTGGTCATTACTCTTATTGCGAAAAGTATCACTGGTGGCCGGGCCTGTGCTAATTTGCCGCCATGGCTTCGTGAACCGTGACTGAGAGGACCTGTCAGTGGTCTATCCTGGCGTAGTTGTCTGTCCGCGGCTGGTCTCTGTCCCTCCGACTCCCTCCGGCCCGTCTCTGTCCCTCCGGGTCTCTGTCCCTCCGAGGCCCTCCGGCCCGTCTCTCTTTGTTCGGTCCTCGGAAGTCCTCTGCGGTCCTCGGCGGTCGCCCCGGACCGGCGCCACTCACCAGGGTCGTTCCGGACCGGGCCGTAGTCGACGTTGGGCGGCGGCGGCGGGTTGAACGACTTGGCCGACCGGCCGCCGTGGTCGCAGCAGACGAACATGAAGCCGCCGCAGCCGCCGCGCGCCACGCCGCCAGACATCCAGCACATGAGCGTGAACTGGCACGAGCCGCACGACGCCCGGTCGCCCAGGAACCGCTCGTCCACCTGAGGCCGGAACCGGTGCACCACTGCGGGAGACAGGGGGGGGGGGGGAGTCAGGGACCGGGGGACACACCGCTGCGGGAGTCGAGGGCAGTCAGGGACCAGGGGACACACCACTTTGGGAGTCGGGGGCAGTCAGGGACCGGGGGACACACCACTTCGGGAGTCGGGGGTAGTCGGGGACCGGGGCTGAAACATTGCGGGACACACGGGGGACTTCACGGGTCTGCCAACTGTACTGACACTTCTGTAAGAAACGAGCAACCTCAGGGCAGGAGGTTGCTGTGCTTATACGAAAGACTAAAGTAACGTAAATGTCCCTTGTGATGGCGACAGTACGATACTAAACCCTGACAACCATCGTGTCGACCATCGACGGCCTGCTGACCATCGACGGCTGCCCATCAAGTTTTCTCACGGAATTTAGTACATTCGAGAATAATGGGACTCGACACGGATCCCGGCCAAATGATGTAAGTGCGGCGTCTCCGATGTCCGTGTTCCCGTGCCGTGTCAGCCTGCCGTTCATGCTGGCACCGCTTCGCTCGGGGACGCGTCAGCCCGTGGACGGGGTGACGCCACGCGGTCAGCGGCGGCCGCAATCGACCCAGTTCCGGCGCTGTCCGGACGACCGCAGCCGGTGCCGCCGGCAAGGCTGTCCGATTGCGTCACAACGGTCGGCTGTGTCAACCGACACGGACGTCTTGGCCAATGGAGCGGCTGCGACCGGCAGTGACTGGTGCGGGAGGCTCTGTGTCGCCGAGCGGCCCGCACGGCCATCGTGAGACGTGGTCACCGGACGGCTTCGGCACTAGGCAGTGAGGCTGTCAGGGACCGTGGGACGCTGATTGGTGCCTGTAGTGAGGTAGTGGGGCTGTGAACTGCAGTGGGACGCTGCTTGGTGCCTGTAGTGAGGTAGTGGGGCTGTGAACTGCAGTGGGACGCTGCTTGGTGCCTGTAGTGAGGTAGTGGGGCTGTGAACTGCAGTGGGACGCTGCTTGGTGCCTGTAGTGAGGTAGTGGGGCTGTGAACTGCAGTGGGACGCTGCTTGGTGCCTGTAGTGAGGTAGTGGGGCTGTGAACTGCAGTGGGACGCTGCTTAGTGGGGCCGTGTGCTGGCCGCTGCCGGTGCCAGTAGACGGGCTGTGTGCTGGCTGCTGTCCGCCAGAAGTGAGGCTATGAGCTGCAGTGGAACGCTGCAGGTGCCGGTCGACGGGCAGTGCGGGCAGTGCCAGCACACTGCACTGTGCTGGCTGCCGGCTGACAGTAGTGTGACTGTGAGCAGCCGTGGGTCGTGGATGCTACTGGGTGCTGGTAGTGAGGCTGCCAGCGATTGTGGCACACTGCCGGCCGTGGAGGTCGCCCGTCGTCAGGCACTCACCGTTCCGCGGCCGGCGGCGACAGACACGTGCGTTACCCAACCGGTGCGGCACGGTGAAAGGACGCGGCAGGGTCAGTGCGGCCGATGACTGCGCTGTGCCGCCTACCACCGCCGCTGGGGCCGCGCCGCTTTGTCATGCGCAGTTTACCGGGTATCGTCTGATGGGCCGGCGTCTTTGTCTTCCTTGGCGAGTGGAATTGCAGTCAACAGTGTGGTCCATTCAATGTCCAACCAAGTGGTTCAACGCCAAATCTCCTCACTTAGCCAGGAAGAGCGTCGAGGATGCATGCCAGATGCAAAATAAACTCTATGGCTTATATATGTTCAGTTCATAATATGGCGTTAGCCGCGAATGTGCACGCCACATGTTCTCATAACACGGTTCCGTGAGATGAAACACTAGTAGGCTCGTTTCGGGTGGGTAGCTGCGGCAGCGGGGCGCGTCCCACACGGTCGTGGCAGCGCGGCGCATGGCAGCAGGCCGCTGCACCGTGACTGGCCGCTCGGCGCCTTGCCTCACCGCCGGCCGGCGCTGGCGCGTGCTACACCGGTCCGCCAGCGGCGCTGATGCAATAAAGTGTGTAACAGAGCCGATCGACGGCTGTCGGCCGGGCCGGACTGTGACTCTGCTGGCTGGTCCAGCTGTGGCACTGTCGCATGAGCTGGCTGTGGCACTGTCGGCCGTAGTCGGAGCCGATGTACCCCACGCGGGGCCCGCGGACCGCAGCTGGTTCCGCGGGGGTCTCCGTCGCCCGCGGCGCGGCCGATCTGACCAGTCATCGCCGCGACGCGCCGGCAGTTGCCCAACGCAGCCAGGAAGACGCGATTGGAAATCGTTGGGCAACGCGGCACCGGTCTGCCGACGTCTTGTTGGAAGTCCTTATCTTTGCGCGCTATGGTCACCGGTTGCCACACGCCATGACATGGTCTCGGGATTTGCATTGTTTGCGGATACTGGTGCTCGGTTGCGACAGATCGAGAGTGACTTCAAGGCCAGCCGTGCCTCCTCGTGGAATAGGCGCCTTCGAAACATATAGAAGCTGTTTTCTCATTAAAAAAGAACTAGTGGTAGCTCTTATTGGAAGCTCTTGTACAGTAAACTTCCTTAGCACAAGCCACCCCCACAGTGATGCGTAAAACGACTGTCACATTCGTCAGCAGCCCTCATTCGATACGCATAGTCGGCGGCTTTCAGAGTAACCGAACTGATGGGGCAGATAGCTACCAGGAAGCTTTGAAGTCTGATACAAGACTACCGAATCGCGATCTTGCAATGCAGTGAACGGTCACCCCCGCTGGTTAGAATGCTACATTTCAGACGTGATTCCAGGAAGTGATGGAATGGATCTCAGTGCTTGTCTTCATGCCTCGAATATCAACAATTTACAAACATTTATATAACGAAAGGGGACATTTATTGGGAATATTCATTGAGATGAAAGGACGTTGAAGCTGACTCCAATTAAGCTTAATTGAACAGTCAAATCTATTGGTGATTGATTTCGATGGAAGCTGCACCAGGCATGGTTAATTGAACAGTCAAATCTATTGGTGATTGATTTGGATGGAAGCTGCACCAGGCATGGCACTGGCTGCATACATCGGTATATGTCAACATAAACTAAAATGAAGCTGAATATGACAATCAAGCGGAAAAATCACTTCTGGCGGTGCCCACATGAGTAGTAAATAACCCGGCGGCACCGCTGGGGTAGCTTATGGGATAGCTTGTGGGAAGCAAAACAAAAAACAAACAAACAGCTCATCGACGGGGCAGGTTCTCCACCTACGGCTAAATCCCATTGCGATATCCAGGAGCCATTGAGCCGGCTTCTAGTCGTCGGTCAATGGGCTGGAATCTGAAGACGATTGAAGAGTTGCAAAGCTTTGTTACAATGAGCTGTCCTTCTTGCTTTACCGGTTTGTTTCAGATATCTGACGAGATCATTTGTTATATAACAAGGCACATACAGCTCATAGCTCTCTAAATTTCCTCTCTTTCACGCCACGCTCAGTTGCTGCCTGGCTTGAGTTGCCTCAAGCCGCAGTGCAATTTGCAAGGCAACTATTGCACTCGGAGTATTTGCAACACCCGGAACGGCCGGCGAGCCCGGCGCGGCGCGGGTTGGGCAACGGGCGACGGCGGCCCGGCGCCGGCTGACACCGTTGTGAAACGAGCGCGCTCGTTCCGCGTCCGAGCGGCGGTGTGCCCCGAGCGGCCGCCAGGGCCGGCGCCCCGGCCTTGGGTCAGAGCGAGCGGCCGGCTCACACATTTGTCAGCGGTTGCAGCAAGACAGGAACGGGAGGCGGTGCGGGCCGGGGCGGGAGATGAGGGTCGTAGAAAGGACTCGGGTGCATGGGGCGGTGCACGAAATTCCCTCGACGTGACCGACTGGCTCGGCGCGGATGTCGGCGCGGATGTTGGCATCAATGCGCGGTTGCATCATGGACTGCGCCCGTCCTGGTTCTACGACAGGTCACGGCGCTTCATTTGTGTTTCGAGATGGCGTTAAGTCGCGGATTACTGTTGGATAGATACTAATGAAGCAATGGGTGGCATTCACAAAGAACTAAAATCACTGAAGTGTGCGGTAGTTGGTATCACCCGCGGGCCCTCCCTTCCTCATTCCCATCTGGCTCACCTGGTCTGGCGCGCCGGTAGGGCCGGCCGGCGCCGTCGGCCCAGGTGCGGCGCACGGGCCGCGCGTTGAACCCAGTAGTGGCCGGCAGGCCGTAGCGCTCCAGTACCGAGTCCTGGTCGCCCAGGCGCGCCTGCAGCGCCGTGAACAGCGCGTTCATGACGGCGATCGAGCGGGTCATGTTTGCGTCGTCGGCCTTCCACTGGGTGACCTCTGGCAGCAGGGCGGTCAGGTTGGTGGCGTCGTCCAGCAGGTAGTCCATGGCCGCGTCGAACAGCGTCACGTTGTAGGCGGCCAGCTCGTACTCGAGCGCCGACAGCGAGTCGTCGGCCGGCTCCTGCGGCGGGTCGGTCGGCGGTGCGCCCAGGTCCCAGGCGTCAGAGTACAGCTGCAGCGAGCTGTCCACCGACGACCGGTGGCCCGGGTGGTCCTCGGACTGCCTGTGGCGGTGGCCCTCGGACTGCCGACCGGGCTGGTTCTCGGACTGCCTGTGGTCCTCGATCAGCCGGTCAGGGCGCTCATTGGAAGGCCGACGGTGGTGTTCCTCCGTCGCCCGATGTTCAGAGAGATGTTCAGAGCGCTCCTCAGATAGATGTTCCGGCCGCTCCTCGACTACCCGCTGAGGGCGCCCCTCGGTCGGGTGCTCGTTGCGGCGCCCCTCGGACGGGTGCCCGGTGCGCTCCTCCCCGGCCCTGCGGCCGTCACCGGTCGGCGGTCGCTCGCTGTGGTCGGCCGGACCGCTGGCCGTGGTGAAGCTGGCCCGGAGCGGACGCCGAGTGTCCGTCTCCTCTGGCAGCTCAGTCGGCCGGGGCGTGTGCTGCCGCTCGGCCGGCCGGCGGCTGTCAGGGGTGACCCGCCCGGCCGGCCGTGGCCCGCGCTGAGCAGGCCGCCGCCGCTGGGGCTCGTCATGACGTTCAGCGGGCCCCTGGAGCGGCTCCAGCGGCGTGCTCAGGTCGATGGTCTCCTCCACATAGCGCGGGAACTGCGCCGGCGCCGGCCGTCCGGTGGCGGCGGCCGCCTCCCGGACACCGACCACCCTGGGCAGGACGCGCGGCTGGTGCGCCGGCCGGCCGTCGGGCAGCGGTCCGCCGCCGGAGGAGCGCAGCTGGTGCAGCTCCTGCTGCAGCTGCAGCTGCTGGCAGCCGACCAGCGGCAGTAGCGCCGTCAGCAGCAGCGCCAGCATCGTGGGGCGCCGGCGCTCTCTGCCGGCACACGGAAACGGTCCACGGTCAGCATCGCCGACAGCGACAGTCACGGTCAGAACACTGCACACACACACAAACAGAATACGAGGACATTAAGCGTGCATCGGTGGACGACATTCGACAGCAAAGACAAATTGCTTCAATCGTGCCTAGCGCACATCAAAACTGGAATGCGACATTGTCACCAGCCAACACCAGTGACAGCGACTTTTGGTGCCTAATTCGGTAACGCTTTGATTCTGCTGCTCTTGTAGCCTGAGCAGTACGGCATGTCATTTGTGAAAGTGTCCTAGGCGACAGGCAGTCAAGTTGCGCAGATCGACCTTTCTGCGGCACACATTGCTTAAACGGCCGTGGCGCAACATAAGCACAGCTCGAGCCGCTGAAATGCGGTGTAATGACGGGAGAACACGAACATTAGGTGACAGACATATTCCTACCGATAATATTTATACTGGAGAAGGCTGTGCAGGCGCACAAGTGCTGCAGAAGTATTCGCACGTGCACGGATACGGGTGCACTCGGGGGTCAGATGAGACATCTACACGATGCGTTCTGCTGTGCTGATGATACCATGACTGCCCTTGTGATTACTGTCACCTTGATGAGCTAATCGGCCTGTTGTTTTGTCTGTTCCCCTCTGTGGACCCGTCGATTCACCGCTGTATCCGGTCCTCCCGTAATGAATGCAGCTCTGGACCGGCGCCCGATGCCCCTGTCCCTCATTAGCCCGCGCCTGCCACCCCTGGCCTGGCCGCACACCAGGGTAGTCCCCGAGCGGCACCTTTTAGTCGAGAGCTTATTGCCAGTCCCTCAGCGGCCGCCGACAATCACACTTCATTTATCAGGGCTGTCGGCAGGTGGGACGACCCGCTCCCCTCCCCTCCGCGCCGGGGTGACCCTCCCCTCCCCTCCGCTGGGCTGAGGTCGTCGCGAGGCCAGCATCCGGACACCGGCCTTGGAACTCGGAGGCGCGGGTCGTTGGACGTAAACACCGCCGGCGACCTAGAGGTAACTTGTGGGTTATTGACCTAGAGGGGACTGGTTGGTACTGATTCGGAGCCGACTTTTAAGTCACTGACCCTGAGAGTGAGCCATTGGGTGCAGACTGCTGACGGCCAGAAAGAGCCAATTATTACCGAGCCAGAGGGAGCTGTGGGTACTGACCCAGTCACTACCGCCACGAGCCGGAGTGCTCGCAATGATTACATCCATACGCTCGGTGTCAGGGGCCATTAAGCACGGCCCATCAGCGGGTGGTGTGGCTCAGAGCGGCCGGGTGGTGGTGGGCGGCGCCCGGGCGTGGCGCCTACTTTCACTGCGCTGCGAGCGTCGCGGGGCGCCGGACCGGCACACGCGGTCAGCGCGCCGCCGCGGCCTTGGCAAGGTCGGACGGCGGGCGACGCTCCCGCCCGCCGCTCAGCTGACCGACCGACCGACCGGGCGGGCGGGGAGGAGGGGCACAAACAAACAAAGGCAGAGCTGATTAACACCCTCAGCCGCCCAGCTGACCAAACAGGTGGTGGTAGGGGGGGGGGGGGCAAACAAAGGGAGCGGCGATTAAAGTGCTTATGCGCAGCTCCGTAGAGCTCCCGTCTCTCGCTCAAGATGGGTGAGCGGACATTCCATGCGTCATTATAGCTCGGGTGTTCAAATGAAAATGGTTAAAATATACACCTTCGTTTTTACAGCACATTCCCAAGTGACAACCAGAGCAGCGTTTTGAAGTAGTTTGGATTGTTAAGCCAGTCTACTTGATAGGCATTTGGATGGGATGCGCAGCTGTCTTGGGTCAAAATCGCTATTCCGGTCACATAAGAGATGTGTTGTGATGAGCCACAGCCTCCATAATTCGTTTGCATCTGTCCTGAGGACTCCTGAGCCATGATCTCCGTGGAACGTTACCTATTTAGCTGAGTTACAGTGTCCCTTATACGCTAGGCTTTTGTGCTGAGTCGCAGTCCCGCGTATACGAAAGTTATTTGTACTGAGTTGCAATCTCCTGAAAACGTTATCTAATTATGCTGAATCGCAGACTCCAGTGAATGATATCTATTTGTACTGAGCCGCAGTCTCCCGCAAATGCTAGCTTTCTGTGCTGAGTCGCAGTCTCCCGCAAATGCTAGCTTTCTGTGCTGAGTCGCAGTCTCTCGTTTGCGCTAGCTTTTTGTGCTGAGTCGCAGTCTCTCGTTTGCGCTAGCTTTCTGTGCTGAGCCACAGTCTCCACGTACGTTAGCTGCTTGTGCTGAGTCGCAGTCTCTACCTTCGTTAGCTGTTTGTGCTGAGTCGCAGTCTCTACGTAGTGTCAGCTTTCTGTGCTGAGTCGCAGTCTCCCGAATACGTTATCTATCTGTGCTGAGTCGCAGTCTCCTGGCTGCGCTAGTCATTTAGGTATCCGAAGGTTGGGACTTTTCAATTAAGAACAATCACTATTCTTTAGAATTGTGATTTTCTATTGAAAATCCCAACCTGAGCTACCTCTCTAGGGGGGTGTTTAGCGTTTCGGCCGCGATTTTGGTCATTTTGACTCCCGCAAAAACGGCACGGTCAACTTTCTTGCCATTTTCATCGTTTAGTCCCCTATGGGGGAGCTACCTTGTGGCAAAGTTGCATAAAATATAATGGGCCCGTTTTGGGGTAATCGGCACGTGCATTTTCCCATAGGGTTAACATGGGGAAAAATTTAAAATTCGATTTGCGAAAAATTTCGTCAATTATATTTGCTGATATTTTTAGGGTCGGATCTAGGGCTGGCACCTCAACATTTGGGGTTAATTATTTAAAAATCATAGGATACAATTTCGGGTAATCGTGACGGACAGTTACCCCATGTTGAGCCTATGGCGAGTTCGAAAAATTATTTTCAACTCGATTTGGCCAAAAATTTCCACGTTAGATTTTGAAAATGTTCCAATATGTTGTGCCCCGGGGTGTCGGCTACCACGTGGTATGGGTCAGATATGGGGCGATTGAAAAGCACGTGCCACGTGCAAACGTGTTTGATGGGGTAACCTCCGGGAAAATCCGACATTGGCCAACTGGGGGTCCTATGGCGCGGAAATGACTTTATCTAGCGACACCAAATCAGTGCAGCCGGTGAGCAGATGAGTCCAGCTTGTAGCACTGGTGGTCATGTGGCGCACGTGCTATTGCACGTGCCGTGGCACGGGGTCAATTTTGGTTCTTAAATACACCAACATTGTGAAATGCAAGGAATGGGGGAAATAGCCGTCAGGCCGTCAGTTTTTATGATAGGGTCAATCTGAAAACGGGTATAGACACAGAATGATAGGGGCTAAAAAACTGCTATCTCGGATTTTTTGTAAAATGAAGAATTTAAAATTCTTGGGAAATTATATATTCGAAAGGTGAAATTTCCCTAGATTTTCCCGTTTTTCAAGTTTAGCCGTCCACTGTTCAGAGACGGTGACACCGGCCGGGATCATCTTTTACATGCTGATGGCCACGTCGATGGGTCATCACGTGGCGTGAACGGTGAAGCTATCAAAGGTCCGGCACGTGCCACGTGGCCACGTTTTGAGTCGCGTGCCTCCCAGATTATCGTGTGTTTGCCGATATAACACCAAAACAGCACAAGCCAGGAACACTGAAATGGTGCAATCAGTGAGGGGACAAGTCTTGCTTGCACCACCGGTGGTCACGTGGCACACGTGCAAATCTGGGCACCTCCGTTGCGGAGATATTTTATAGTGAAATATTCAAATGTACATAACTTTTTCAGTTTAAGTCCGATTGGGCTAGAATTTGGTGGGTGGATGAATTGTTAAGCGACATGAACGAATGCGCCATGTTTGTTGCAGTGCGCCACGTTTGTCTCAAAGCGCCATTTTTGCCGCAAAGCGCAGAATGTGCGTAACTTTGTCGAACATTGGACGATTAGGATGCGCTGTAATTAAGGAATGGCTGCTTAAACGGCAGATATGAATGCACCTCACTTGCCGCAGGGCGCCATATTTGTCTTAATGCGTCAGTGTTAGCGTTTTTCTTACGGCGGGCGTTTTTTGCGGCGGTGTTTGCGTTTTTTCGGGGTTTGCGTTTGACGGCGGGCGGCCGTTTTTGCGTTTTTGGCGGTGTTTGCGTTTGGCGGCGGGCGGCTGTTTTTTTGCGGCGTTTTGCGGTTGGCGGCGGGCGTGCGTGCGTTGCGGGCGTTTTTTTGCGGCGGTGTTTGCGTTTTTTACGGTTTTTGTGTTTGGCGGCGGGCGGGCGGACGATGCGGTTGTTTTTGCTGTTTGCGTTTGGCGGCGGGCGGCCGTTTTAGCGGCGGCTTGCGGCCGTTTTTTGCGGCTTTTTGCGGTTTGCGGCGGGCGGCCGTTTTTTGCGGCGTTTTGTGGTTTGCGGCGGGCGGCCGTTTTTTACGGCGTTTTGCGGTTGCCGGCGGCCGGCCTTTATTTGCGGTTAGCGGCGGGCGGTCGTTTTTTTTGCGGCGTTTAGCGGTTTGCGGCGGGTGGCCGTTTTTGCGGCGTTTTGCGGTTCGCGGCGTGCGGCCGTTTTTTGCGGCGTTACGCGGTTGGCGGCGGGCGATGCGGGCGTTTTTTGCGGCGGCGGTGTTTGCGTTTTTTGCGGTGTTTGTGTTTTGCGGCGGACGCGCGTTTTTTTTTGCGGCATTTTGTGCGTTTTTTCTGCGGTTTTCGGCGGGCGGGCGATTGTTTTTTTGCGAAGTTTGCGTTGGCGTTTTAGGCGTGCGTTTTGCGCGTTTTGTGGTGTTTGCGTTTGGCGGCGGGCGGGCGGGCGGTTTTTCACAATTAAAGTCCCAACCTTCGGATCCGCAGTGCTGTTCGACAAGCGCTGCCCGGGCCTATGCCTAACTACAGTTTCCAAAAATCGTTAGCTGGTTGTGTGGAGTTACGTTCCTCGCAGTCTACTTGCTATGGGACAGGCTCGTGCAATCTCACGGCCGCTTGCTTACTCGTATTAGGCTAGGCACTTTTTGCTCTCATGTGACAAAGTGAGAAGAAGAAAGGAAGAGCAAGAGAAATAGAAAAGAAAGGAACGAGACGGAGAGAGGGAGAGAGAGAGAGAGAGAGAGAGAGAGAGAGAGAGAGAGAGAGAGAGAGAGAGAGAGAGAGAGAGAGAGAGAGACGAGAGAGAGGTGGAGATGGAAAGAGCTTTTCAGAGAGTTCACGAGTGCGTTTTTTTGGGGGGGGGGAGGGGACTAGAGATTATGAATACATGTGAATTGCTGGCCCAAGGCTCTTTAATAATAACTGTGTTAAACAAAGCCACCATTAGCTGCAGTTTCACAAGGCCATCGTTGCTCCATTTTCTAAGATGACAGGGGTGTTACACACGATAATGTTGTGACACTGTGTTGTAACTTGTGTGCCATCTGTCTTTTTTTTTCTAGGCTTGGACAAACACATTCAACCCCTGATCACTCATTTACCCACCCCTGTTTAGGACTGGCGGCCATCCCACAGGCAGCAATTTAATTCATCACTAAAAACAATACCTAATTATAACCTATGCTTGTGAAGACAAAGGGCAGGTGGATAGGTATTCAGCAGGACCCAAGAGTGCCCAGGATGTTTAATGTGTACGTTATCTTTAATGACATTTTAGCATTCACGATTCAACTACGTTTCTGGCTTATTAGCTATTGTAACATTTGTCTACATTTACAACTGATAATTACCTCATTTTGAAAGCGCTACAATAAGTCTTTGAGACATTCTGAGAGCTAAATATGAGCTGACCTTGACTTCGGAAAACATTGCGACCACCATTCATGTCCGCTGATGCGAGATGACCTCGTGCTCGGCAGACTGGGCCACCTCGGGCGGCTGGAGGATAGAAAACAATGCGTGTTTGTACGCCACCAGCCGCCGCGGTGTACGGGCCTCGTGTGACGTAAGAAAGGCGGCGGTGACGTCACTCATACGAGGGTCACGCACTATAGAAGAGCAGCAGATGGTGTTTTGGTCGCCGGATACCAAAGGGCTCTCCGATGTTCAGCGGCGGTGTCAAGGCCGCCGCCCGTACAGAAAACACGCTGCAAGACGCGTGATGAAGTGGATGACACCGTGTTTGGTCAGGCCAGTTTTTGGTTTTTATTTGAATGCTGTGTATGTGCCTGACATCGCATATGCGTGCAATCATCCCTCGGCTGTCCTTGTTAAGCATGCTTCATTCTGATAAGCTTTTCTTTAACCCTATTACTGACAGGCTCCTGGTTAAAATGTGAGTTTCTTTTGGGAAAGTAAGGGTTCAGTTATATTGGTTTAAACAAGTTGCGGTTACATTTAAATGTCGGAAACTGTCATTGAATTGACGTATAAACAACAGCATAGTTGCGACAGCAGCGATATATGCATTATTCTCAGGAAACCGAAGGCCAAGGCACATTATTTTTTTTAACCGCGCTTGAGGCTTTAAGGACAGGAGCAAGTCATTTGTGTGTCGCCTCGTGCAACGTGCAAGGTGTTTAGGGCATATTTACCCAAAGTGCTACGCCTAACTGAAATGAATAAATCGTATGTTATAAGAATAAATGATGCATTTACGCATTCGCGTAGATATTCAGTATAGTTTTACAGGTACTCTTATTAGCCAATGGAAGCACAATTAAAGTTCAGTTTTAACCATGTTATCGACGTAAAAGATGCTTTTGATAATCAACAGCAAAGCCACATATGTACCTACATTACACAAGACTGTAGGCGCATATCAATTTTATCAGAGGCATACCTTTTGCTCTGCTACGATAGATGTAAGCCTTAGCATGATAATGATTAATTTTACCTCACATTACTCTTGTAGTTACTGGCACATTACGATGCCTAAATACAAGACGACTAGTTAGACCATTAAATGGTTTGTAAATCTGATAACAGAAATTGATATAAACTGCTACCAATGATACGGAACTGGTCCAGTCCAGTAAAAGCGCGATCAAACAAAAACCGGTTGCACATGAAGCCGTTTGACTGCACATTGGTCTCTTCCTTTTCTTTGCGTCAGAAATCGCCACAGAGCATATGGCAGAGCAATAATGAAGGTAGTTCTGCAGATAACTTCCCATGTGTTACATGGAGCTCCTGATAACTCACCGGCCATGCGCGGCACGGCGCAGACGGCTGGATATTGCAGCCGTCAGCCACAGAACGGCTTGATAACGCAGCCGTCAACACAGAATGGTCACCACGCTCTCACTCGCCGCCAACTCTGCACTGAGACGATCCGACGCCGCCGACGCCGCCGCCTTCGCGGCCGAGTTTTCAGAGTGTGACGGCGGAGAAAAGCGTTCAGCACACCGGCAGAGAGTGATGTCGAGTCATCCCCGGCGACTCGGCGCCGCAGGGACTCCGAGTCGTGACTCTGACCTGACACGACTCGGCAGTTTGTCCAGTCACTTTCGACAGGTTTATAGTGGCAACGCGTCATTCGATAGCGCACACTCGCATTTGCATAACAGTTAGGAGTGATAACTGATAACGTCGGGTGCGAATCGAACATTTGGTTTAATAAAACTTTCGGCTTCTATAATATAGATAGGCATATGCATATGGATGGGCAAGTGCCCAGTGCCAGTAACAAAGTGTGCGCTCTTGCAGATCAGTGTGAAAGGTGGCGGCAAAGCTGGCTCAATGCAGGAGGTGCAGTACTGTGAAACAGAGAGTGCCTGAGCGAAAATGAAAGTAATGTCCCAGCCGACTGCTCATCTGCCGTAGAACCGTGAATGATGACACGAGTCTCGAACAGACAGGAGCCGATGTAGGTGAGCGCATACCGACACCCACGGCGCTGCTGAGCGGGTCACCTACCGGGAGGTGATGGTGCGGGCCGTGCTGTCCGTGGTCGGAGCTCCGGGGCGCGGCGGGGCGGCTGGCGACCGTCGCTGGGGTCGGCGGCAGCTCGGTGGGACACGCGCACGGGACGGAGCGCCGCTGGACTCGACTGGCGCCGTGGCCGGACTGCCGTCGACCGGCCGCGCCGCGCGCCTGGCCGGCGTGTGCCCTCTCACCGGCAGCGCCGGCGGCAAGGTCGGCGTGCGTCGGTCGGCCACCGTCGGTCAGCCGTGTCACCGAGCCGTGTCACCGAGCCGTGTCACCGAGCCGTGTCACCGAGCCGACCGCCGAGCGCCGGCCGATCGGCGCAGCTGCCGCGGAGCCGTCCTCATGGCACGGCAGGAATCCGAGTCAAAGGTGTGCTTCAGATGTATGTATGTATCAGTACACATGGACAGGTCGGTTCGTTGCCCCACATGGTAGGCCTGAGGCTTCTGTAAACTGACGGATAAACAATAACAAGTCGGTACCTGCCGTAGAATGAACAGATGCCCACTCCGATTAGAGACTGGCCATGACTGGAGCTATGAGTGGGCTCTGTCGCTCCATGGTGCTAGTTAAAGGTACAGCGCGAGGGTCGATGACACTGAGTGTGAGCAGGTGATCATTCATTACGGGTAATCCATCAAGTGAGTCTGATCTGGGTTTGTTATTTATAGGATATCGAGGCTCCTGAGCATATCAAACAAGATTTCTCTCCTGAATAAAACAACCGTCATATACCATGGAAACAGGCTCAATGCTTAAAATTTGTAATAAAATGTATAAAGAAAGCATTAACGTAGGTACCTATCATAATTATTCCACACCCGACCGAATTAACCGAAGGTTTGTTGTCAATAGTTAAACACTATTCGTTAATAAAAATTGTGTTTCTATTTAAAACAAATCTGAGTTCTCTGACAATTTTGCAAAAGCTGTCTGAGATATATCCGAATGTCGTATTTCTTACATCGCGACTGAATGAAAAAACAACTTTCCCCCTTTTTACGGTAAAAAGGCTCAACTGTTCTTTCTAATCTTTGTGGTACGAATTGACTTTTTGCTCCGTCCCGTCCCGTCCACTGCCGCGAAGGCTGACGTCCCGTCACGTCCCGTGTCGCTGCCGTGTCTCCTGACGTTCCGACTCCCGTTCCGCGTAGCTCCCGTACATTCTGACTTCCCGCTCCGTGTTGTTGCTATGTAAACTAACGTTTCGTCTCGTCCCACCGTCCCCGTATATGTATAACTAGTGTACTGTATGTAGTATGTATATCCCTGCTGACTTGATGCCTCTCTCGTGAAGCTGACGTCTCGTTCCTTCTATACCTATTTCCTACCTCTGTTGACATCCCGGTCCGTCTGTACTCTGTACCCGTGTTGACGTCCCGTTTCGTCTATACCCCTGTTGGCGTCCCGTTCCTCTGGTGTGTCAGTTGCTGTCCCTTCCCGTGCATACCTACCTCTACCGAGTTCGTTGACGTGTGCCTCTACCGTGTCCGTTGACGTCCTGTCCCGTCTATACCTCTACGATGTCCTCTGGCGCGGCCGTGGCCTGTTTCCTATTGAGAAGGGCCAAAGTAGGCCAGCCCGGGGGTCTGCTGTGCGTCACCTCCGCGTCCCCGCGGCCCGCGCGGCCGTCCGGCGGTATCTCTCAGCACAGCAGCGCCCACGCCGGCGGCCTTGCGACACTCTGCCTCGTCTGTGTGTGTTTTGTTGGTGGCTGGTGCCGCGACCTGACACGCAACCGTGCCCTAGGGCTGAGTGACCTCTGCGCCGCTATTATGGCCGCCGGATGACCTCTCGGTCACGTCTTCTGGTGCACGTTCGCCGCCCGTGTTATCAGCAGTACGAGCGTGTTGCCCGCCATTCAGAGGGGTGAGTGGAGTCCCAGGCGGAGTTGGCATCCGCTCCGTCCGGCCCGACACCGCAGAGCCGCTCTGACACCGGCACCCGCGGACTGGTGCGAGGATCAGAGGGTGGTGCATTGTCCAACGCAGCACTGCTTTGAGGCACTGCGGTTAAAAAATGACACAAATTAATGGGTTGTATACTGCATAGGATGAGTGGCCTCGAGAGAATGAATAGAATAGACAGACAGGTGATTAAAGCCAGATACAGAGAAGAGAGGAGAGAGAAAGAGGTGGAAGAGAAAGAAAGATGCGTCCCCTGGATGGCAGCAGTGCTCCGACCTCCGAGACAAAGTTTGCTCTACGGCAGAGTCACGTCGGACACCACTACATATTGCAATGAGTCGTGCCCGTATTGGCCGGCCTTCCCTGACCAGTTGGACGGCAGGCGCAGTCCGACGCAAGACCACTTTCTCTCCACATAGTGAGCCTATGGCCGTAGTGTGTGATAAGCTCGGTTACCCCATCGAACGGATGGCACCGGTCGCCAATCGCGGAAATCTGCGGAACCCGCCGGCGGACAGTCTTTGGGGGGCTTGTTACGCCGGCTTTTTGTATCTACCTATTGATGGCACAGCCGAGAACAATTTAGGCATCGGATGTGTATATCTCCAAATGCTGGTATGCAACCAGGTCATAAAGCCAATCCTTATGCAGTCGGCATTACGTGCTGCGGGTTTTCATGTTCGACTACTTATGAGAAGTAGCTCTGTACCCCTTCCTAAAAAACTTAGACCAGCATTTATGTACCCAGCACGACTGAAGGACACATTATTTTGTCTGTGTCATGAGGTGATAAAGCTGGATGGGAAAATAGGAAGCTTTACGGATGTGAAGCGCTCGTTTGACGTTTTCATCGGTTCGACGGTTCGGTGCCAATTTTTTATTGCGACAAGGCAAGTTCTGGGAACCCCTGGCGCTGCTCCTGCCGGCTGTTGATCCATCTTTATTTCTGTCCATTTATGTTGGTAATAAAATTCGTTGTGTGTGTGTACACTGAAAACAATTTAACCCGCGCGGGGCTGGGGTCTTCAGCCGAACGCGCGGGGCTGGGGGGGGGGGTAAATTTTACCCCCCCCCCCCTGTTATCTCCCGAACTAATGCATATTTACGTCTGGACAACGAGTTGCGTTGGAGAGGCCGGAAATAGTGGCGATTTCAGGACCGCAAGAATGGACCGTCATTGGAATGATTCTTTTTTAAACCGTGCACTGTTTTCGGCCGGAATTCAATAGTTACTACAAAATATTTTGTAATTACGTTGACACCAAGAATGAATGCCATCAGGGCTAAGTTTTTAATACTATTGTATTTTGTCAAGAAGAATATAGTGCTGTTATATTGCAGTTTTAGCGCGTTTGTTACAAAATATGAAGCGAATAAGCGTCAGTGTAGTTCATCACAACAGTGCCAGAAGTTAACTTGAGGGAAAGCTATGCTAATTGCTCTTGTCCATCCACTAAAATTTATTAAATATTTTGCTTTGTGTATTCCAAAAGGAGAGGGAACTATTTCATTTGTGCCTTCATGTCAGAATTGAAGGTGGATCATTAAATTTTCAACGCAGTTTACAAACAAGCATTTGGTCTTTCTCGTTTATAAGCAGTGGCTAAGAAAAGGTTGATCAATCCTGAAGTTCAGTCATCGTACCTCAACTTGGCAGCAAGATCCCCCAAGGACAGAGGATATATTGTATACATGTCCTGTAAATCAAAACAAACAAGCATTTGGTCTTTCTCGTATATAAGCAGTGGCTAAGAAAAGGTTGATCAATCCTGAAGTTCAGTCATCATACCTCAACTTGGCAGCAAGATCCCCCAAGGACAGAGGATATATTGTAAACCTGTCCTGTTAATCAAAACATTTTTGTGCCTTCAAGGGCTTAAGTTATCTGTGGTGTGTTCGGAGTTATGCTATATGACCGTTTTTGTTGTATGTTTATGTGGAGATTGAATATAACTGTGACCCTGTGCTTGTTTGTATACTTATGGTCAAACAGGGAACAGCACATTCACATAACATACTCACCTAGCACCTAACTCATATAGCTGTACCCTGCAGGATCTGTACTTGTTCATGTCTCGAGCATTAACAAAGCACTAAAGTAGCTTAGTAATCATTTCCCACATTTTCTGAGCATCTAACATGACATACAGCAGTGCAGAGCAGCTTCAGAGAAGAAACACTTTAAATGCACAGACTCACACCAGCCACCCAATGAGCCAGTTCCTCAGTTGACTGTTTCCCTGGACACAGCTTGGCAATGTGAGCTTCAGCTAACTTTTGGCAAGTTGAAGGTTAGCAGGTAAGATTGAGTTAGGGTGAGTACCTACCTATAACTGGGTGCTGCTGCCATGCAGGTCTTGGGTAGGCTGCAAATATGTGTGATGATTGAGGTTAGGTCAGCTGTCAGGTTAGTCAGGTTCAGGTATGCTCATTGCTCAGGTCACATTTTTATGGACATTTGGCAAATTGAAAAACTAACAATCTGATCTAAGCTAACCCGACTAAACATACACAACTACTGACTATAGGAACTGAGCACCTACCTACTTGTGCCTACATCTCATACCATGTCAAAGTAGAGTTCCTTGGTGGAAGATTACCCTCAGTACTTTTTATCCCAGCCCTGTGAAGAAAACTAATACTTCTACGCTCTGAGTCACTGCTGGCCATCCACAGGAAGAAACGCTGAGACTGAGAGCTTTGCCATTGTATATTGGACCAATAATGACTATCACGAATGACTATGAACACATAATATGATCACATCATTGCATGGATTGTCACATTGACTATTTTACTACAATCCTTTTTTCAAGAAATACAGTGATGATGATTAACATCAAAATCAACATAAAGTGGATTTAGTGATCCAAGCTTTCTCCTCCAGTAGCAATGGAATGATCGCATGTTTCATTTGCCAGACACTGAGTACCTGATGCACATTACAATCTGCATAGCATCTAACAAACTGCCCAAGTCCATTCATTCTAGATTTTAACTTGATAGTTAGCACTAATTTATCTTGCTGTTGTAAGTTTTAGTTATCATTCAATATTCATACCAATACATCAATATGCGCTCATCAGTCAACATTTTCTGGCATGATCCTGCTCAGCGTGCTCTTCAGTATTGCTCCAAGGTCTACAATATTATACATAGCTTGTTTTTGGACAATAAGCTCTTTTAATTTTACTTTTTCTTGCTGATATATGAGCCCGATCAACTTG